TTCATCAGTAGTAACAGTAATCTCAACTTGCTTTCTTCCAGTTCCACTACCATCAGTAGCCATTTTTCTTTAAAATTAACTTGCAAATATCAACACTAATCAGCTAATCCCAATAATCCAGCAAAATCAACCAGAACGGGTAGAACAAATCAAAGATGAGCACAAATTAAAGAACAAATCCAGCAGCCACACATCAATCATAGAAGAAGAGAGCAAAAATTGAAGGTAAGGAAGATTTGCCTGAGAGGACGAGTTGAGCTCCAGCGACTGCCTGAAATTTGAATTCCCAATTCGAATCTCAAGACAGCTCGAGAAGCAAAGACGAGTTGAAGGTTGCTGCAGCCTGTGTGTTGTGGCTTGCAAAGATGAGATGAAGGTTGCTGCGGCCTGCGTGTTGCGGCTTGCAAAGATGAGATGAAGGTTGTTGACTTGCTGCATGCTGTGGCTTGCGAAGACAAGTGAAGAGTGAAGACAGAAGCTGCATGGTTGCAAGGTCATACGTGGAAATGAAGGCGATGCAAAGAGCTGTGATGCGAGCCTACGAATCTGCAGATTGAGATGGGACTAGAGTCTGGAAGCAGGATTGCAGGAAGGGGAGATTTATGGGCTCTCGACTCTGGAGTGAGTGGTCCGACCGACGAGTGGGGTTGAGGAGTGAAGACTAGAGGTAGGCAGTTAATGAGTCAAGCATATTGTGATTTACTGATTCGGTGATTTGTAAATCCAGGGAGGCAGGGGAGAGCCAGAGATTCGCAGGGCAGAGGGGAGAGCCAAGCGAACAAGGGCACAAGCACGATTTAGTTTCAAGACAGGGGAGAGTCGACGAGTGAAGTTGGTAACTTGGTATGGACTATGGACCATGGGTGATGAGTCCATGAAGGGAAGTGGGAAGTGGGAACTGGTCTAAGAGAGCTGGCAGGCTGAGAGTCCAAAATGTGAAAGAAAAAAAAAGGCGGGCTAGCCCGCCACGGACCAGGCTGAAAACGGTGCAGGTTGCATAAGTGTAGATTTTGGCAGGCTAGGATTTCCCCAACCCAAACCCGCTCTTTTAGGCGTGCTGGCAAGCTGGCTGGCGCTAGCCCAGCCCATTTTACCATCTATAAATAGAATCTTATTTGAAAATCAGAAATTACATAAATTAAAAAAAAAAAACAAAGCAAAACTTAAACACAACAAACTACATTTAAATGGAGTATGAAAAGATGCCTATGCTTTTTCTCGAATGCTTATACATTGAACCGAGCATATAAATATTCATGCAACCTGCATTAACGTCAATGAACATTCCAAATGAATAAAAACTTAAATATGGATGAAGCTATTACACTTCCTGGCAAAACCGAAGAGTATAAATATTACAAGACAAGTTTCGTAGTGTTGCACTATCAAATTTTTTAAACCCACAACTTCATTTCCTTTTAAAAGCAAGAATGACATTGGCTATGAAAAAGATCCGAAAAGGATACCATCTTTTCATAACAACAATTAGTTATTTTCATCTTACCTTGCCCCTTAGAATTAAGACTTTGATTTTTGAACCCCTCTCCTCAAAATCGGTAATTCCTTCACTTGGACTACTTTTAAAAAGTTAAATAGAGTCTTGCCAATTGCAGAAACAATCAACTAGAATAGCTAGTGGCCATAGAATCTATATATCCAAGTATATCTATATGACATTTGAATAAAGAGTTTGCTTGCGATTGGCGTGAAGTGTTCCCGCTGAGGTCGCAGAATGTCGAATGGCTTCTGGTTTAAAGGCATCAAACATGGATGGTTAGGATTATAATGATATGGACGGCTGAGATGCTGTTTTGAATACCCTATATGTGTTCCAATATTCAGCGCTGAGATCAATTGAACGGACACGATTTTAAGCTTCTGAGAGCTGCTGAGAAGATCCGTATCCCATCCAGAGCGTTGTTTTGGCAGTTCATACAAAAACGATGCGGTCCAGAACTGGGCATTTGAGGACCTAGTTAGACTAGCGAGGCAGATAGGACGAGAGCCTTGAAAGCCCTTTTTAGTTGTCATTATCCAATTCCTTTGTGGCTTTTTTTATTTGTTGATCATTGATTATTAAATAAATTATTAGATTATGGCATTTGCGAATTTTACCGTGGTGCGGTGAAGTAAGCATGAAAAATTTCCTCTTTATCAACTAATAATCTAATATACAATAAAATAAGAGAATATCTATTTTGAACTTTTTTAAAACTTCTAGAGTAATTTATCGATTGAAATATTAATAATTAATAATTTTTTACAGAAAAGATCATTTTATTAATAATTAATAATTGGATTTTATATGCTAACCATTAAAAATTAGACTTTCGGATAAACTTTTAACTTTCCAAGCTATGTTTCAGTTATTATTAATTATTAAATAAAAGGTCTCATCGATTGGCTACTTAATCAACGTCGTTTTCTTTTTCTATTGGAAAAAAAAAAAATCAGCGTAGTTTTTCAAATTGGTTACTGAATAACAAATGAACCAAACCATTGATGACGTATAAAGGTATGCTGTGATAACTTAGAAGACTTTGTGGCTCGGGGCATCTTGAAGTTAGCGGCTCGGGGCATCTTGAATGATGGTCTTCTTTTTTTTTTTTTTTTTGTGTTATGTTGCTGATGAAGTTTTAGTTTTCTTGTACATTTTGGGCTCTTGTACAAGTTATCGGCAATTTATTATCTTCGTCGATTATATATCTACAGTTCTTTGTTGTGCACGTAATTCTCTTTTTGATTATGACTAACCTAAAATTCTAAATACTGTGTTGTGGCACAATTAGGGGTGGCGTTTAGTATTTGGAGAATTTCTTTTTAGGCCAGCGCAATTGGAGAATTATTTGTTTCTTAATTTTGACGCTAAATAAATGAGCAAGCTTTGGTTTTCGTACAACAATATTCATTTCCTGGGACAATTAGGTGGAGTCTTCACACTTTAATACTGCCTCCTGTTATCAATATAAAAGCTACTTGTTTAATTTGAGTATATTAAAAAAATTAATTTAGTTAGTTATTTGTAATAAATAAGTGTTGTCTTTTCTAAAATATATTTGCTAATCAAATTTATTAGTTAAAACTATTATTATTAAAAAGTACTAGTGCCCAGCTCTCTCCTTTGCCGAGTTAGTATTACTTCTAGTGCTACCTTACCGGTAAACGTAATCTCGTTGACTGTATTGGGTAGCGATAGAGGAGGAGGAGCAGGACGTAGTGGTGGCGGTGGTAAATTTGTTGATGCAGTGGCATAGACAATTGGGGTTGCAACAGCAGCAGGGACGTCATCTTCTCATGACATTGGCGAGTCAACAGCGGCGACCGTCGTGGCTGCAGCAAGTGGATCGAATTTCAGCGAGGAAGATGTGAGGGGAAGAAGGGAAGAAGGTGACTAGAGCAGTGACAAAGTGGATCGGAATCGATGCCAGATTCAGGAGATCAGATAGAATCAGCAATGACGAATATTTATTATTATCGGCGGGGCTTGTGTAACCATCAATATGTTTAAACTATTAACTGATCTGAGCATTCTGGTATTTAGACCTATTTGAGTAAACAAGTACTTGCCTTTCTGGGTATTTGAATTCCTTGGGGACTCTTAAGACAATTCGGTGTAATGTTTACGCGCTACATTAATGGAGTTTTGGGTTTGACCCTTCTCTTCCATCTGTTGAATAGAACGCTGTGTTTTATACTCGGACTTTATGGTTTTGGATTGAATCAGAGCATTCAGAAGCATTTGAAGGATGCTCTCCATGGGGTCGTATCAAAAAGTAAAGAAGATAAGCGAAATTTAAGGGATTTGATTGTGATTAGTTTGTAGCCAAAGCATTGAGGCGTATATTAGAATGCGGGAGGACTGGATGATTGTTTGAGGAAGTGTGGTTAAAATAGTTGATTTGTGATTAGAGTGGAAAATCTGGTCATTTGAATTTGGCCTTCCGTTTGGATGCAGAGAAATGGCCCACCAAAACTGAGGTTGAGAAGAAGAAGAGATTTGGTTTGAACCACGAAGGAGTCACAGGAGAAGATACAATTATGCCACATTTGTCTCCACGTCAGTACTTGTAGTCAACATATTCTTTTTAAATAGTCAACATTACTCAATTTAACGGCAATGGCACTTTGGGCTTTTTTTGAGTTATCATGGATATTTTTGCACCTAATATTTTATTATGGTGCTTGGCGCTCCTTTTAAATATTACAATGGGTAAAATTGTCCCTTCACCCTTTTCTTAACTACTGTTTTGTATGAGATACTTCTCTAATCCCATAGGCAAAGAGTTAGGACCTATTTATAAATCACGTCATTAAATTTTTTGTATGAATGTTTTACTTTTCCATTCATTTGTTATTGTTTAATTATTTTCTTAAAAACTGTGTATATATTAAATAAAGGTAAAGTTGCAAAATTTAACAATTTTAAAACAAGGTTAACGTGGATTTAAGTTTTTCTTGATTACAATAAAAAATGTTAAAAGTAACTTATAAATAAAATTTAAAAAATATTTATATATTTATTTAAGGAAATAATAAATTCCTCTCTGCGTTTTTCTTCTCATACATGTCTATAATATGATCTTATCCACTTTTAAATTTTAAAGGTAGACTTTCCCATTTTTATTGATAGACCTTGCCAATAAATTAATAATACATGAGATGTTCGGATAAATTAATAAAGGTGAAATGAAAGTGCAAAAATACCATTTATCATATTTGAAAACAGTATCATCAGGCATCATAAACAAATCCTTGAGTGCAAAACTACCTATAATAATCCCAAAATGGCCCTAAAACCACTCACCATTCAAGTGCCAATAAAATGATTCCACCATAAGCAATAGCGAAATAACTATTCACCGTACTTCCTCTTCAAAAATCTTGAGTATTAATTATATTAGTCACTAAAAGTAAGTTTTGGTTGATCATGAAGTTTGAGGGTCATCCTTCCCCCTCAACTATTCAAGAGCATTGATCACAAAAACCAAACATACCAAAAGTAGAGGAAGACACATAATATAGAATTGTACTTAATCATCTACTCACAGTATAAATACATACATATATATATATAGTAACTACATGGAATACACCCATTGCTACAAAATATTGCATTATTTTTTAAGACAACAATTCAGTAAGATTGTCGCCAAGACAGCTCTTGCTTGAGCTGTCCAAGATACTACAGAGATATTTTTAAGATATAAGCCAGAGACTGGACTCTATCTAAAATGCTACAAACTGACTATCAGTTAAATATATTGTCTATATTGGCAAATAATGAAGCACGAGAAGATTGTCTCGAGACTTGGTCTGGCAGCTGTTCTGCGACCAAGAGGTAGAAGAGCCCCATAACTCCAGTGTGTGGCCGGCAGCTGCGGCTGTAGTTGGATTCCAGAGTCACAGTTTCACCATCGATTATCTTGACAGAACCAGGTTGAGGATAACAAGTGGTCATTCCTACAATGTAGCCTTCTTCATTCCCTGCCTCCTTTCCAGTTCCATAACTTGGCATTGAAGAACATATAACCCTTCCATCCTGAAACCATCTCACTAATTTCAGGAGGGGGGAAAAAAAAAAGAGCTGTGCTGCTATAAGGATATGATGCCCTCACTAATTGGCAAAAAACAATTCACTCATTTCTTGCACATAGTGAATTGCTGATAAACGTAGCAACACAACAACGTTAGATGCAAACTTACAACCCTGCTTGATTTGCTGGGTCACAAGCATCACTTTTGACTCCTTTCCATGTTAATTTTTTTATATATGCAAGTTAAAATAGCAATTAGAGACAGAAAAATAGAAATCCATTATCACCTGCCCATACAGAGTTGAACCAATTCCACCTGAATGTTGATGAGCCACACCATAGATGACATAGCCACCTCTTGGCATTGGGAGGCTTGTTCTCTTGACATCAATGCATCCACTGCCATCCTTCTGATTATTGATGCAAGACTCAACTTGATACTCAACCTGTAACAAGGAAATCCTTGTTGCTCACATGCACTCAACAATACAAGAGACTATGATTATGTTTTAAAGCGAAAAAAGGATTCAGACCAACGAATTTGTCAACTAAATAATTACTTACCTTGCAGTTATGCTTTGTACTCAAAGCTTTTGAATTTGAACCATTTGGTACTTGCAAACTATCAGTCACGTCAAGTATATAAATCTTAACAGGAACTATCAAATCACTCCAATCAACCCACTTAATTGTATATCTCAAGTAGAGGCTTCTCCTTGGTCCCTCAAAGCCTTCCTTCACCCTGCATTGAGTTTTATGATAGCAGCATAGCAGGCCGCCTAAATAATCAGGCCTCAAAGGCCGACCATATTCATCCACAGTGATGTTATAAAGATCACACTTGCACTCAGTGCACCCCAGCCTATCTTCTACACCTCTAGTATCAATGGCATGCACATTAAGCATCCATTTCTCCTCATACCCCTCTGGAATGTTTGCAGGATTACCTATTTCTATCCCAAAAGGCTCTGGAATATCTGTAGCTGTTCCCCGTGTTTCAGATCCAAGGCCAAAATACTGTCCAAGAGAATTACCCTGGCATATGCCACTGTTTTTCACCAGAATGTGATTTGGGTTTGACTCACTAAGCACCCGATGGCCATCATTACTTTTGAGTGACACTCCTTTACGTTGATGGTATCTAACAACAACCCAATGATGGAGATAAGTCTCATGAAGAGGCACAGAATTGCCTTCTTCATCAACTACTTCACCATTGAAACTCTTGAGTGCAATATGACTTCTTGGAAAGTCTATATCATAGTAAAATTTGTTTTCAACCGATCCTGGTCCTAGTTCAAACTTAGGGGAAAGGAAAACAGCTTCCTTGATTTTACTTTCACTCTTCCATAACGCATGAGAAAGCGGTGTGCCCAATATTAGCAACAGTATTGCTGATAAAAGTTTCCAAGGTTGTAAAAGAAGTCGCATGTTGATTCTGTCAACACCATCACAATAGAAATCATTAAATACGAGATATAAAACAGATGAAGATGTGAAATGTGCATCCTCTCCATCATCTACAGCAAAAATTATAATAGAATTCGATAAACTTCTCTCAGTTACTTTCTTTTCTTTTATTAGAAAACCCATAAGTAATTTGTTTACTTATAAAACCTTTGAACCATGATGAATAAAAATTATGAACTTCACAACAGGCCATAAAAAGTAAGCGAACAAGGGGGAAAATGGGAACAATAGAGACGAAAAGTAAATCATCCAACCAATGAAAGTCCATTGGAATTATGAATTATGAAGTACGAAAACCAACACAAGTGATGCATTAGTGAATAGTAAAGCATGCCCATCGTATGAATGAGGGGGCTATAATTATTGAGATACCATCATTAATGTGTACGAAGTGGAAACATCTTAAAAGCATGTGGAAACGTTTTCACAATAGTCTTTTGGTGCTGAAAAAAGAATACAAGAGCTCAAGTAAATAAAGCTCAGGAGGAATCAACTAACAGAATATCTTTGTTCTAAATAGTAGACAAAAAGATTGTCTCTGTGAGGCCAATTGCATGTTTATTTATTCTCCTTGGCAAGAGAAAAAAGAACATCTTGATAAACTATGCCCACCACAATCACTTAATGCAGTTGTCCGAGCTCTACATGAAGATGCTTGGACATGGTTTATGGGAAGAAATAGGAAAGATACAAAATAAAACGGATTTCTAATGTCTCGCAATAAACGTCCTTATTTGTAGACCAAAAGAAAATCCTTACATTCGTCTCATGTAGCTGTTCAACCTTTTAATAAAACTCTCAAAAACTTGGTGGAGCTGAACTTCTGTAAAAAAACACACTTTGACAGATTATTCGAACTTCAAAGCATGTCTGTTTTGCCATATTCTTCGGAGGAAGTAACACAAAACAAGTCATGTAGCGTATAAGGTACATAATTCATTTTTTTCAAATAATAACAAACAGGTATTAAAATCAGAACTCAAATTAAGGCATCAAAAACTAGAAGTCACATAAGGGGGGCGGCTAACTATGGAGACAGATTGGCTATTAAATAGAAATTACTTTTATGGCAGACGGCAAAGGAGAACGCAATCCCACCACATACAAAAACACGAAGTTCCAACTTCCAAGTCGATGAACCCATGCCTAGAAACTAGAGTGAGATAATCTTTTACGCGGAAAATTCCCCCAAAAAAAAAAAATCTCATGAACAGCAATCACAAAGAAATTGTTCGAAGAAGTTAAGAATAGCATACCGCAGGAGAGGAACGACAAGAAGTATAACTCGGCTGAGTGAGAATGCGATGTTGCAATTACAATTCACAAACGAATTGGTTATATATACAGCAACTCAGCAAGCAAATTCAAAACGCGATACGAAAGGCAGATTTTCTGAAAAATGAAGAACACGACAGGAAAGGATACGGCCACGTGGCGTTGTGAACTGAGGCGGGGAAGCTCGGCTCCAAGTGGGGTCCACGAGGGGAGAAAGTTTCCGCGGGCAACCTGCTTTTTTTTTTTTTTTAACCAGCCGTGTGCTTTCTACTAACTTGGAAATGGAGTGTGAAACTATGAATTGATATTGTAAGCCATGACGCAAATGAGGAAGAGAAGGAACAGGAGGATTGTTGATATGGATTGGTCGGAGCAAGGACGATGAAATCAATCAACACCATAGAAACAAGAGTTCCATCGCCAGAAAAAATAAATAAATATTTTGAATCAGTTTTTTATTCACAGTCTTTTTCATTTCCAGCTAGGCCTATGGAGTTTTCTAAAGAATATCCGAACCAAAAATAGTTCCATTTTTATCATTATTATGATATTTCATATATTCCTGTCCACGTCGATTGGATACCATAGAAAATCGATTAAACAATATTCGAAAATGGCGATTCCTTTCAAGAAATGAAATGTTCTGTAGTGCCCAATCTTAAATGTAATCGTCTTCATCGAGATTAAAAAGCTCCTTAATAAGAACAAAATAACCCTTTATTCTTCGGCAAAAGAAAGTGCACTTTTTGTTTTATCTAAATTATAAAAATATATTTTTTATTTTAAAACCCCGTATAAACCTCCCTTAATATTAGGATATGTGTTATACATTTAAAATTAATTAATTGTTAAGCTTGATTTTAAACTTTTATTTTGATGAAATGACATCCTCTTAACATTTTTATTTTGATCCGCACCTTGTTAACATAACAACTATTTAAACATTTATGTTTAAAAAAATAATTTTTATATAACTAAAAAATAATTTTAATAAATGTAATTTCAAATTTTCTAATATGCTATTAAATTTGTTAATTTTGATTATGGATAAAATTCGATAATTTTAATATTACATCACATTTATTGAATTTTTTGTTTAGATTTTTTAAATGAATAAAAAATATTTCAAGCACATATATTTCACAATACAATATAAATAACATAAGTTTGGGAGAGTAAATAATTCGTTTAAATTTATAGAATAAAAGTTTTTGTTTCAAACATTTATAAACATATTAAGTTAATTATATATTTATTTAAAAAGTTAATCAAATTTTAATCAATATTTTTTTAACCAAAAACAAAATCAAATATATTAAAATGAAATAACTTCAAAGGTTACATATAGTAAGCAAACCAACCAAAAAAAAGAATTAAAATTTACAAAACAATCTTTAGAAATAACTTTAACACTAACAAAAGAGAAAGCATGAATAAGTGTGTTTTAATCAAGTTTTTCATGTCTAAATTAACTAAATTACTTAAGGTTCTATTTCAATATGACAAAAATATTTTTAAAAAAGCTATTTGAAAGAAAATCAAATTAAGAAAAAGAAAAAAACTTTTAAATTCTTCAAAACTATTTTGGTTAAAATTAAATATTTTGCATGATAAAGGTTAAATTAGTAATTAAAAAAAGTTTTAACATAGCTAGAATGCATGCAACTCTTTTTGCACATCACTTTCCTAAACTTTAAAAGTTTCAATTAAGGATCATGATCTTTCATATTCCAACCATCAACTCCCGCGTGCTGAAATTACCATTAAAGTCAGCATCTTTTTTTTTTCTTTTTGATATACCGTATCATTTAAAAATAATAATATATGGCCTTTGATATGTAATTCTAATATTTTTTATATTTAAAATAAAGAGTTAAACTATACCACCACCCTCATCTATTTCTCAGATATATTCAGTATTATAAAATCATTTGTGATACCATTTACTTTTAAAGTAATTAAAATGATGTAACCTCATCCATGCCGCCTGAAAAATAAAATTGAAAACGTCTGTTAAGCTTTTCCATTTGCCCCTTTCCCTTCCTTCTTGTCCCCGTCCTTCACTCATCAACAGCGGTGGCTTCTGACGAGGAGCAAGAAAGGCAGGGTCGGCAGTGAGAGAGCGAACACGATTTTTACAGAGGAGTGGAGAGAATTTTCAGCGATGGGTTTTTGTGCCAAGAGAAGTTGGTGGGAACTGTGGATGTGATAGGGCATTTCACGATGGAAGGTGGGAGCGAGAATGATAACGCAAATTCGAGCTCCACAGTATCCTCATCGTCATTGCCATCAGAAGGTGAAGAAGATTATTAACTTTTAAGAACCTATTGTGGAGATTGTCAACGGAACGATATGAGATAATCAAAGATATTGGGTCTGGGAATTTCGGTGTTGCCAAGCTGGCTAGAGAGAAACGAGTCGGCAAGTTCTTTGCCGTCAAGTTCATTGAGAGAGATTCCAAGTTTGTTCCTTTGCTCTATTTATTTATCTTTGCATTAATTACTGGATTATTCTTCTTACCTTCTTCCCCATCCCTTTAATTCTGCAGATTATGAGCATGTACAGAAAGAGATTAGAAATCACAAATCCTTGAAACATTCTAACATCATTCAATTTTAGTAGGTAAGACCATTTTTGATCTCAACTATTAAACTCAGAAACGCAGGGCTTTTTTTTTGGTAAATAGAAACACATGTTCTTTGATGCCCTTTTGTTTCAACAGGGAAGAAGAGATTCATTGTGAAGTTGATTGAATTATTATAAGATTATTCATTGCTTAGATTTTGCTGACCCCAGCTCATCTGGCTATGGTCATGGCATATGCTAGTGTTGGAGAACTTTTTGAAATATGTAACGCAGGAAGATTCAGTGAGGACGAGGCACTTTAATTTTGGTTTATAATAATTTGATAATTGATGACCTTGAATCACTTTTACTTGACAGTGTTTTCACTTCATGGAGGCCTGGCCAGCGTGGTTGATGAGTGAAAGCGACAAGATAGGGAAGGAAAAGGAGCACAAGGGGAAAGCTTAACGGAAACGGCAGGGATGAGATTACTCCATTTTAATTACTTTAAGAATAAAATTACACCACAAATGGCTTTAAGACATTGAATATACCTAAGAAAATAATTGAGGTTGCTAGATGCACATTAACTTTAAAATGAAACGCTTGAAAAACATAGAGTACTTTAAAGATATTAGAAATATTTGTTTGATTAGGTATTTATTAAATAGAAAAAGGGATAAAATAATTAAAATTACGTGTCAAACACCAAATATATTTGTAAATGATATGATATATAATAAAAATATATGACATGTCAAAATAATTAAGCCAGTAATTTGAACATCACAAGCATTGATTGTCAAAATATGAAACATTAGTGTTCTTAATTTGAATTTTTAAAGTTTAGGGAAGTGATGTACGATCAACTCAAAATTTAGAGAAATTTTGTGCATATTAACTAAATTTTAATTAATAAAAGCAATTCTTTAAAACATTTTTAACAAAATTAGCAATTTGAATTTAAGGGTATGTTTTCAAAAATGAAAGCAAAGACAGTGTAACTAAAGCAAAATGTAAGAAAGGATGTAGAGTTCTACTCTTTATTTAACCAAATTATTAATTAAAAGATTTAGCTTGTATGAATCACTATTGATTTATTACCGATGATAGCTGCTTCAATATAAAAAGTGTTTGGAAACATATAAAAGTACTTTTAAAGAGCACTCTTTCACAAAACGAGATAAATTCTTTCACATATTTGTTTTGTATATTATAAAAACAGTTTTAAAATCATAGTTTAGTTTTCACCTAAACACTTTCATAGAAAAATGAATATACCGTACGTCTCATTGATGAATGAATAAAAAGGTGAAGCCTTAAATTTGACTCACAAAACATATACACACAAGTAATATGTGTGCGTCTATATGTATATATTTCCATGTCTGTCCTAATCAAAGA